CAGCCTCTTCGGTAAGAGGCTGTCCTAAGCTGGGTATTTCTAGACTTTTTAGTGGAAACTAAGAAATAGTGAATAAATAGAAAGCATTCCCCCTTCACATTTCTTCATGTTTGCTGATGTTATTAAATTTCTCCTCATAATCCAAACAAAGCTTTAGGATTAATTTGACCTTATAAAAGAATTATCCACGTAATTTTCAGTCTACTAATTACAACTGCTATAAGATTTAAAAATTCATATTTCAGGCTCTTAAAACAATTCTCTTTAGGAGTATATATGTAATTTTAGGTATATATGCACTTATCCACTCTAAATTGCTGGGAAGCTGGTTTAGACCACTTCTCTTGTAATCATGGTCTCTTGTGCAACTCGCTTAAGAAGGGAGCATCTGTTTTTCTTAGAAAAATTCATATGTTGTCTTTAAAAGGAATGGAAAACAGATTTTTGAAGAACTGAGCTTCAGCTGACTTTATATTTGAAATTTTAAATACTAGAATTACATAGTACATTTTTAAAAATGAACCTGTAGTTTGCCTAGAAAAATAGTCATTAAAAATCAAATATTTAGCAATCATTTTTGCTAAAAAAATCCGACATTCTTAGATAATATATTTAACTTTCAAGGGTAAAATGGAATCTTGAATAACAAATAATAGTTATTGCTTTAACTTAAAATCTATCAATGTAGACATTAAGCTTATATGTTAGAGAAGACATATAAGTTTAGATTTTCATCTACACTTCAGGCATATTTATACTAAGAAAACTTGATCAAGCTCAGGCATTTCAAAATTTATCATCTACATTCATCCTTATTCCAAATTAAAAGTAACTTTATTGCAAGGGAAAAAAGATTATCACATTTCAAAACATCTGAAATCAGAATAAAAACAGAATGTTCACATGGAAAAATTGACTGAGCTATTTGAGCACCTAGCATGGGCTTAGCTAATAAGCTAAAATTCAAATTATGCAAAAGTCCCCTTGCGAATCAATTTGTGTTTCTAAATGTTTGTCTAAATGTTTTAGACAAATAGATTATTTACAAATACTTTCAAAAGTGATTTTCAGTATTTTATTTTGTGGGAATTCAACGATTATTTCTAATTCTTGTTTGTTTGAGAATGTTTGAGACAAAGCAATTCAATTTACGTGCATTCAGTGGTGAAACTAGAGCATCTTCACCAATAGGTCCCAAAATAATCAGTTTTAAGAGCAAATAATATTTTAAAAAAATAGAATGAGAGAAAGCAACAGCTTTGATTACAGACTGAGCATCAAAATACTCAGCAAACTATTCTAGGACATTACCTTCGTATTATTTCTGAAAGGAAAACCAAGATTTTTCAGAAAGTGCAAAAACTAATTTAATAAAATGTTTTTTTGATGTTTTGATATTAGTCAAGCTTCTGCCAGAAGCAAAATTTCATTGCTGTGTTAAACACTTGAGAATAGAGGGGTTTATCCATGACAGCGTTCTCTGAGCTTCGGCTCAGTCCTGCAAGGAAACTTATTGTTATGCATTTAATGGATTTTAAGTAAAACATGTACTGTTCTACATGGAGTTATGTCACCAGACCCCTGGTAATGGAACTATATTAAAAATAACTAGATCATGAAAAATCAGAATACTATGTCTTGTGGTAAATCTTGCTTTCCCAATCCCTTGCCACTGAGAAAAACACAAGCTGGTTTTCCTTCTCACATACAGTACCCATGAATTATATCAAAATTCAATCATGCTCAATTAGCACTCAAAATTTTCCAATAATTATGCTGAAGGCAACATCGGCACACACAAAGCACTAAGGGAGTCAGAGACTAAGCTGTGCATAAATTCACTAATAAGAGAAAAGGTCACAGGCTGATATTACTGAAATTTGATTAGATTTCAGACCCACATGTTAGAAATCAATGTTTTTCTGGCTTGGGCACTTCTGCTCTGGAGTCAGCCATTCTCCAGAGCCCTGTGTCTAATCAGAGGCTGTGCCAGTGTTAGATCCTCTCCTGGGCACAGAGACAGCAAGAAACGAGAGAGGCTTTGCAGGTCAGAACAGACAGGCTCTGCCATTCCTGTGCTGAGTGGTTTGGGGAGCTGAAAGGGAAAAGCTGTAGCTACAGCTGTGAAGTGAAACAACTGTCATGTTGGTCAAAGCCCACAGGAAAGGTAAAACCAGTGCTGGGGATTTTATGGCTCTTTGATAGCTTCCAGTAGCAATCTAGTCAAACCAGGATGAGTCCACAAAGGGCTCTTCGCATAAACACTTCTGCTGAGTGGCTACAAATATGGGAGCTACAGCCTGAACTTAATCCCACAACTAAAAAAGCCCCCAAAACAGGCTTTAGATATATGCTGTTCCTATAATGTGAAAACTGACAGATAACAGGAAATAAGGAACTCTCTTGACGATCCAAATGTTCCATATGTTGTTCTGGGCATGAGTGGAAGTCTGTCAACTCCCACTGCCCCCCTTGTGTTGCCTCTGTATGTTCAACTGAACAATTAAACAGATTGTCAGATGTATGGCACTGAAGTAACAGCTTTTCATGGAAGAAGAAAGCAGATGATCAGATGGCAAAAATGTAAATATGAAAAAAATTTAATTTCCAATTGGAATTTTGACTTGCACCATCAAAAGAATGTGTTATATCAATGCAAAATTGATGATGCAGAAGAGAGGATTAGGTCTATGATGTTCGGGAAAAAAAATCATCAGTTAGGAAACAAAAATGAAAAAGAAAATGTTTCCCTGCAGTCAAAGCCTCACGTGCTTTGCCAAGACTGCCTTACATTGTTGAATGATCAGAACTGGTTAATCTGAGTGTTAAGCCCTATGACAAGGGGATCTGGAGGTAAGTGATGAATTGCAGTTCTCCTTTTGGGAGATGGAGAGAGAAGGTATGACAGATAGGAAACAATAATTAAATATATATATTTATTATTGCTAACAGAAAAGAAATAGAACTGCAAAAGGCAGTCTAAAAAAGCAGTCTTTTTCTCGGGTTGGAATTTAAATGTGGAGCAGGATTTGGTCCGATAATTTCTTCTCCCTGAGGCTGAGTTTCTTACAGGAAGATCTGGTTTCTGTTCAGACACAGCAGAAGCGGTCAAACACTTGAATTAATTGACAAAGCTTTTAAAACTTAATACCCAATTAAACCAAGAGGTTGCATAGCAGAAATTAGTAATTGTGGTGTTTGTTCAACTAGAACACATGCGATAAAGTGAAGCCTGTTCAGACAAACACTGCCTTTGCTTTTATTTGATTTATGAAGGAGATGATAGGACAAAGTCTATTTTTGTAAAATCTTTCTTGGATTCACTACTGAACCACTAGCAGGTTGGACTCCAGTCAAGCTTCTTGAAGATATGATTCAGATAAAGACATTTACGTGTATTATAATGGCTGAATCATACAAGGAATATCTTAGTTATTCTACAAGATTGTACAGACCAAAGTTCTACTTTAATTATCTACTCCTGACATCAAGGTAGTAGTGCCACCTGGGCCTCATGCTTTAACAAAACACTTCTAGAATTTTACCCACCTTAAATTGGTAACATGATATTAAAAAGAAAAAAAAAAAGATAAATGGAGCGAAAAATAAGATTTATATTTAGAGTAAAGAACAACACATTAATATCATGTGGAAAATTTTAAAAATTAAAGTGTCAGATACATTAATGTTAAAAATTCAGTGTATTCCTTCAGCTCCTGCTGCAAAAGCTTTGAAGGTTCACTGCAGGTCCTTATTCCTCCATAATGTACAGAATAAACTGCTGGAACCCAGCCATATACTAAATGATTTCTGACTTGGTTTTTTATTCCTGACTACAGACAGTTCCTTACAGAGACAGATTTATAGTTCCTGAGTCGATATCTGTAAACATATATTTTAATCTTTAAAAAGCCATTATCCTTAGATTTACATTTTGTGTGTGTGTGTGGACTACTTTATTACTTCTTTGTATTAAGGATTTTTTATCAGACACTTATCTGAGGAGAGATTAACTAATACAATAGAGCTGGTAAGATTTTAGAAGAGTGAGATTTTTTTGCTTTGTTTTGGTGATGGACAGGAGGGCACACCCATAACTTTTTTTGCTGGGTCATTGGCCTCCAGCTTGCTTAAATTTTGACATTACAATTGAGAGATGTATTATGTCCATTAGGAAAACATCATAAATCCATGCATTCTGTTTCATTTTTAAACCTCTGACATCAAAGAACATGGAAAATAAATGATCCATCACCAAAATCTGATAGTTGTTTCCTGTGCCTACCTGATATATAGGCCAAAAAAGTACATATTTACTATTTCCTTTTCACTCATCCACAATAGGTATCTCTCCAATGGAGTTATGAAGTATTGCAGTGACTCTCAGTGTTTGGAAATCTTTTTCTGGAAGTTCAGAATCAGGACTTGAAGCAGCATCCCCGTTCTTTTTACTCAGGTACACCTGGAGCACAGCAGAAAAATCTCTTAATTCTTTGACTGTGATTTGGCACGTGTTCTGTTGGCAAAAGTAGGCAAAAAATTTTAATTCAGGGACACCTCAGAGGAATTAGAACAGCAGGCTGCTTAATTTCCTGGCAGGTTAGAAAAGCTATGGAAAGGTTTATTTCCTACAAGATAGTTCATTGTAACCGAAGTATTTGCCCTAGAAAATAATAAGATATTTTCATTTAAAACACAGATATTTCCCCATATCTGTTTTAAATAACATAATCAAAGATAGAAGAGCAACCACATTTCTTCCTCACATTTTGCATATTATTTTTAATTTTTTATTTTAAGGTTGTTTTCAAACCCTAGGCTGTTGGTGGGGACTTCCAAGCAGAAAAGATATATTGTTAAATATATGTTAAAAAAAAAAAAGTCAAAGAAGAGGGGAAAAAGGTAATGTTCATCCAGTTTCTGACTGATTAGTAGGAGAGTTCACGGATATTCATCAGAAGTCCAAAAGCTAGAAGATGCGGTCAAAGTAGATGTAATACTCCCTGCTGGGCCTTGTGTCATGGCAGCCTGCACTGAGTCTTCTGAAGCTTTTATCAGATGAATCCACTGTAGTAGAAGCCCAAAGGAAAATGCTCTTCATTCCAGAATGACGCTTGTGATGAAAAATCCTGCTGATTCAGACATGCATTCTGCTAGATTCCACCTAAAATGAGTAGAAGGATACCCACTGTAAAGCATGCTTCAAACTACATTTTTTTCTATTTCGTTTTAATATCTGAGGTTGGAGAGTCTCTGTCAGGTCCTCACCTTTAAGCAAAGTGTGACCTGTGCAAACAGCTTTTCCTGGTAGGCAATTCTGTTTCAACTTGTGCTCTTGTTTTCTCCCCGTGTCTGCCAGCCCAGGTGCCAACTGACTCTTAAAGCTGAAAACGCTTCCAGGTTTGTTATCCAAATCTCTTCAGAAGTTATTTCTTTTCCAGGTTTCTAAGCTGATGGTAATTTAGATGTAGTTTATTTCAAGGTAAACTTCACAGAGCTTGTTAAAGCTTGTTATGTAGCTCCTTTTGGCCGCTAAAAACGTATAATCAGGGTGAACATAAGAATTTGAACACTAGCAACATTTTTCTTTTCAAATACTATTAACATCAAAGCTATTAGCAAACACTTGCTGTAATAATTTTCTTCATGTTTGCTTCCTGATAGCTTTTATGTGCTTCTACCTTTCACTACCATTTCCTTTATCAATCATTGGATGTTTTTTTTAAATTTCCCTTGCTGCTTAAAGCACAGAGATGAAAAAAAATAGCAAAATCATGTTGCCATACTATTTTAAGCATTAACTAAATTTCAGATTTTTTTCCCAAACTGCTGATTCTTCTCACTCCTGTCATATGTCATTCACTTCATTATGGTATACTGTCCCTGGATAAAATGCATGAAGGAGTGGCATAGGGAACATTATAAATCAGAATTAACTGTAATAATTTTCAGTACTGAACAAGCTTTTTACTGTTCTTATGGATAACTTGGGGATTCTACACAGAGGATATTACCTGAAGTCAGGCAGCATTCAAATCTGTCTTAAGTACTATAGACTCACAGAATCATTAAGGTTGGAAAAATGTCCAAGATCACTAAGCCCAACCTTTGACCAAATGTCACCATGTCAACTAAACCACAGCACTAAGGGCTGTGTCCAGGCATTTCTTGAACACCTTGGGGGATGGTGACTCCACCACTTCTCTGAGCAGTCCATTCCAATGCTGAACCCCCTTCTTACTGCAGTTTGAGGCCATGTCCTCTTGTCCTCTCACTGGTTGCCTGGAACAAGATGCTGACCTCCACCTCCACCCTCCTTTTAGGTGGTTGTAGGAGTGATAAGACCTCCCCTGAGCCTCCCTTTCTGCAAGCTAAACAATCCCAGCTCTCTCGGACACTCCTCAGAAGGCTTGTTCTCCTGGCCCTTCCCCATCTCCATTGCCCTTCCCTGGATGACCCCCAGCACCTCAATGTTTTTCTTAGAGTGAGCAGCCCAGAACTGAGCACAGGATTTGAGGTGCAGCCTCACCAGTGCTGGTCACAGGGGCACAATCACTGCTGGCCACACTACTGCTGATCCAGCCCAGGATGCCATTGGCCTTCTTGGCCCCCTGGGCACACACTGGCTCGTGTTCAACCACTGTTGACCAGGACCCCTGGGCCCTTTCCCACTGGGCAGATTTTCAACCACTCTGCTCTATCCTAAGGATTGCTAGGAGCCTTATACCTCCATCAGTGGAAAGGGAAAGAGATGCAATGTGTATACATAAAATTATATATATTTCTTTAAATTAAAATATATTCTGGAATAAAAGATAAAAAAAATATTCTGTTAATCATCCCTTATGGTCACAATATACATAATGGTATTAAACCAGGTAATTTTGCTCAATTTCTTTTTATCTACAGTATCTATTTAGCATTAGACTTGGATGATATTTGCATGATTTCTTTCTAATTATGCAATCTAATGCAAAAATCTAGAATACTATAAAGTATTCTACATAATTCAGCATAATTCTAAAGTAACATGTATTGCAGTTTTAGGTGAGGCAATTAAAATAAGTAGAATGAAAGTTTTATAGGCATGGCTTCCTGAGACACCTGTCATGTACTTGGCCTTATATAAAAATCAGTTTTAAGAACAATGAACAAGGCAGAGACATGTTTATGCTAATGCAGACAAGCAGCTATTACAAAGGTTGGAAGTAAAGGTTTAGAGCACAGTAAGCATGATGGTCTAAGCTCAGTTTTAAAGACTGTCTTTAAATTACAACACACTTTGGATTTATTGAACTTGTACTTTTGCTATATTGACTGCATCTGTCCTCTTTCTCCTGTTTTCTTATTTGACACTCCCTAGGACACTGTGCTGGTGCTGTGGAATCCCAACATGGCACAGTAACAGATGGTGATGCTACTTTAGTTTAATCTCAACATATAAATATGAAGCTCTTAAGGAAGAATGCCTTGTCATTTAAAATTCAGCACTTTTCATGTACTAGGGGTAACAGCAGTTAACTCTTTGATCTTCTGTATGAACTATTAAGGGCAGAGATGCTCTCTGTAGAAAGCAGATGGCTATGCAAATAAAACGTTCAATACTGCTAAATAAGTTTGAGGGAGCTTGTTGAATGTTGGTTTTGATTTACATATTTGGTTCTTGGTTTGGGTTTGTTTTATTATTTATTTTTTTTTCAATTTTTTTGACTTTAGGTTTCAATGTCTTCTCTCCTTGGTATTCATAAATCTTATCCTGTTCTTTACAGGAAGCAGCTACTTCCACGACTTCCAAACACAACTTGGAACTGTGGCATCCAGTGGCTCTTAGTTAATATAGAATATGGAATAGTTAATATAGTTAACCCCCTTAATAGAGTTAATCTAGTTATAGGAAATGGTGTGGGTTTCCTTGAACTCAGGCATGCATGTTCTTGTTTACCACAACTAAACATTACTTCTCACAAACATTACCCACAAACCACAATTGCTGTCAATTACAGCAATTACAACTGGAATTAGAACAACCTGCCTCCAGTGCATTACTAAATAAGGATTTAAATGTCAGCTGTTATTTCTATAATTTCTTTCCACTAAGTTTGAGAACATTGGTAGGATATTGAATTTAAATTGTAACTTCATCCACTCTGCAAAAGATCCTTGCTTGAGGTAATTTGGCGCACCTCAGTTGAAGATAATATTTCTCTGATGATTTACTGGAGGTTCTATTCCAAAGTCACGCTAATTTAAGCTGTGGAGAAAATTACTGTACTATCCCAGAGGAAAAGAGGAGACAGGTTTCAGCTCTGGAATTTATTCCAAAATAAAATGTAAAGCAGTTTAATAGCAGCATAAACTCTTTATCTTTTCCTTCCAGCAATATTTAAAAAAACCCTAAAATATATTTTTGTTAGTTGATTTCCACATAGAGGCTTCCAGTGTGCAGACATAGGATGCTGAGGACTGAGATGTTGAGGGATAATGGTATATGCACCTAAATGCACCTTACCCATGTGTGGCAAATCTTAATTTGAGTGGGCACCCGCCACAGACAAGGCCTTCTGCTCTTGAGACTCATTTAAATCACAAATTCAGACCCATTTAATTTCTCCACAGTTGTTTTATATGAGCTTTAATCACACACTACAGTTATATGTATTTAAAATCTTGATAGAAACAATCAGTACAGTGCTGCTTTCTGTTATACCCATTGTTTTCCATTCCCATCCAAAAGGACTATTTCATTCAATTAGTCCCTCAATATTTTTAAATTTTGTGTAGTTTTCGTAGAGGAAAAAACCACACACATATGCATATGCAATAAGGTATATGTTCCTATATATTCAAGTGGGTTTTTCTTTTTTAAATAATTGTTACATAAAGGAATAATATGTTTCTATAATTTCTACCTTTTGAATATCTTCATTCAACACTCTACAGATACTGTTAATTTGCTGAGAATGAAGCAAATAATGGTATTTTTACAGGTACTTTAAGCAAACAACAGTGAGAGAAAAAATATTTAGAAGGTTTCTTAACACTGCAAATAACTCAAAATCTGGAATTATTTCTATTCATATTTCTCTCCAGTCCTTAAACTTTATTTCTAAATAGCAAAACATTTTCATGACATATATGTAGTTGGAAACATTTTTTTTGTTATTTTCATTAGCTCTATATGTGTTGATGAATGATCAAGTATTTAGAAGTTTTTGGAGTTTTAAAAAAATATTTTAACAAAGAAATTCCAATAATGTTTTTCAATAAGAAGCTCAAATATACTTGATAAATTTTTTGACATTGCAGTGACTGGATGTTAAAAACCCACAATAAATATCCTGTGATACTAGAAAATAATACCAATAGATATATTAGAAAGAACGTAGATGAGACACTACAAAAATTTTTCAATTTCAATGAGAACATAAAATTGGAAATTTAGCTGAGAGACTTTCACTCCTTCATTGACAATATCCACTCGTCTTCGAAGATAAAGAAAGGGCTTCAACATGGACACATGCTCTGGTATCCTTCAGTGGTAATAGATGAGGTCTAGTTCTCTTTCTTTCCTTCCTCTTACTATTATTTATTCATAAATAAATATTTGTTCATTCAAGAAACGACTTGGGAAAGAAATGGAACAAGAAAATTGAACTTGAAATTGCTTCATTCTGTGCCACTTATATGATCTGCTTTTTCTGTTCATCCTTTCCTCTTCTCTGTTCCTCCAAAAGGGTTTATCATAGATCTGATAGGTTCTCCTTGAAATCGGTCTGTTTCTAGGAAAAATGATCATTGCAGTAAAGTAGTCACATGGGAGAATAAAGTTATCATCTTTAGTGTTAACTGAACCATAATGAATTGTTACACAGAGACTCACTAAATTAAAAGTGATATATTATGCTGAAAAACAGTTTGACCAGCTTTGCTCATAAACCTAAGAATTAAGGTAGGAATTATGTTTTTCAATTATCTGTATATCTACCATGCTAAATGCACATTCCATATTAAACACCTGGATCCAAAAATGCATCTATTTGTGACTTCAAAGCTAGTTAACTTGCTCTAAAGTACCTTTCCTGAGCAAAACTTGAATCTATTATTAAAACAATCTTTTACACACAAAGAGAACAGTTCCTCTGAGGATATCATTCCTATATCAAGCAAACATTCCTTCACAGTTCAAGGTCAGATTTTAGCCACTTACAGAGACAGAACTGCTTCCTCTACAAAACTCCATAAGAGCACTTCTCACCCTGGGTCACTGCAATTCACAAAGTGCTTGCTTGCACAAACTCGGTGTAATGCACACCATGGGCTTGCAGAATTGCCAGCCCTAGAGAAGGAACCTGTGGAAGGGCAAAGCACTGAACCTTGGCATCATTTCCACCAACGCCGCACTGTCAGCCTCCTCCACCACCCCTCCACAGCCATGGGAAACAAGTGCCTATGTCAAAGACAGCTCCTTGCAGGGAAAGTGAATTCATTATTCATCAACATTTTTTATTTTCTGGTAGGGACATAATATTATATTGATTTGTTTCAGTATTTTCTGTGGTAAAACCTATTTTTTTATCTAGATCTTTTTCACGCCAAAGTTGATCATAAAATTCTTATGCCCTTTGAAATATCCACAGTACTGCTGTGTGTTAAGCCCTTTCTTCTTAGTAACAAAATAAGTCATTAAAACACATTTTGCCTCTGCTAAGTTTTCTTGCACCTCAGTCCTTTCTTTCTTGTTTATAATTGAACTATGCCGTAGACCTTTGTGTGAAGAGATAAAGAATATGAATAAACATCAAGCACTAGGAAAGCTAATGAACATTCCCAAGTCTCTTTCAAAAAACCCAAACAAACCAAGCAAAAAAACCAAAAAACAAAACACTACAAGAAAACAAAACTCCCAAATAAAACCCAAAAGGTTTTATTTATTTTCATCTGTTTTCTGATCAATTTTCATAGAGTTTTTCCTGTGAGCAGAAGAGGACTTATGTATTTTCTGAACTGAAAGATGACTAAATTCTGATGCCTTTAAAGAGAAACACAGTCTTTCCATTTGAATCCTATTTTTTATTCTTGTTTAGTAGCTGGTGACTAAAGTACCTAAAAACAGACATCCCAATTCATTATTGTTGAAGAACAACAACAAAAAAATTACAGCATCACCTAGAAAATTTCATCAGAAGAGTTCATCAGAGAGTGTTCAAAAGTTAATTACCCCTATTCCTACCCAGAAAGTAGGAACCTAAAAGCTTTCAAATCAGAGATTTTTCCATATTGTTAAAATTTTACAAGGCAATGAGAAGGAAAAGGAAAATAATAAATCTTTTGGCTCTTTTGCATTCCTGTTTTGTAAGCTCTAATTATTTTAGTGCTAGAGTTAAATCTCTAATAATACATACATGCCCTGATGAATCAGCTAAGCTCTTAGGAGCTGCCTTTTAGGGAAGCACAACACTGTAAATCTCTGACATGTACCATATGCACAATAAAAATAAACCATAAAAAGCTTCTGTTTAGTGCTACAAACAGCAACAACTCTAAAAGGGGTGCAGATGAAATGGGGTCACGGTCTCCACTCAGTAATCATCAGAAGCTGCTGGCTGTGGGAGGAAGCAGCAATTAGGGA